TATTAATCTTATTGGTAATATATTGATAATTCGTAGCAAAACAAGAAACTGAAAGAAACAATCAGAGAAAACAAGTAAAGTTTTAATAGGAGATTATCTGTCCTTTTTCGTCTCCTGATCTGTTTGCTCGCCCGTAGCATTGGCCTCAGATGCTATGTCTACTTCACCATTGGCTTCAGTGGAACTATCCAATGAAGTACCAAATTCGTTCATGCGCTTTGGATCAACACGATAGATCCATCTTTGGTACAAGTAAATCTAAACTACTGATACATCAGAAATACATGCCGATTAACATGAGTATTCTTGTCTAAATTTGGTTGTTACAAAAAAACTGCCTCTACCATCTCAACCCAATCTCTAATTTACAGCATTAACGATTGGAGATATGCAGGTTAAAAAGATATAACTCACAAGGAAAATTATGTCATCACGGAAACATCCTATACGGTACAACATTGGCATCCGGATGACAAAAGCGAACAAATCGTCGATAAACGTATTAATAAACTTGTAAGTGAGCATCCTCCATGGGAGATGTGCAACCGACTTCAACTTGTAATTTATAAACAACTGAAAATAACGCTATACAATCAAACTAATAATTAGGACATATCAGAAGAGCCCTAAAACGAACGTACATAACAGAAAAAACTATGTTCTTTACTTTAAAAAGTTTTTCTGCAGACCGTCCATTCTTTTGATATTAATCAAAAACAAGAACTGTTTTACCACTCAAAAGTTTGAAGAAAGGTAAGAAAAGATGCTGAACAGCACCATCTAAAAAAAACTATGGAAAATTCTCGATCAAAATCTTTTTAGAAAACAACATCTGAACAGAATTTAGTGCAGCTCTACAAAGAAAAATTAATTAATGCCACTATCAACCATCACCCTGAAAGTATTTAAGCCTACAGTGAACATTGTGCCTTTTCAAAGATCTCAGATTGGTAACTTTCATAAAATGATACACACGCTACCAATAATAATGCATGATGACTCTGTCAATTTATGAAAGGCACCAACCTGAGGAGTCATGGTAATGAAACCAAACATGAGCAAAAATCCATAAAACATGTTGAGTATCCAAGAATACCATCCACGTTGCTCGACATATAAGAGAGAATAAACAGCGTAACCACCAAGAAGCGGGAAAAGAATCCATGATAGGTATTTGAATGCTAGCTGAAAAAAATAGGTATTACTTTTTTTAGAAAAGACATTATAGCTTAAAACAACGTACCTGGTCATACTCTTTGGTGGCACTTTCAACATAAGAACCCTTGTCGCTGAACTTTAGTGAAGGAAGAAAAGGTATATACCTATTTGAGTGAACAATCTGAAATAAACCCAAGTGGCTTATGAGATTTCAACTGAGCATGAAAAACAACGTACCTCCACGTTAACAACTTTAGGAATTTTCCAGCATTCAATAAGAAGACCAATTCCAACGCTCATTTTTACCACCCAGTTGGTGTCATTATCGCATATGTAGAGAAAGACAATTAGGGACTAAATTACGTGGCTGAGTCAAGTTATCACCTTTTGGTTTAAAAAAGCATTTCAAGCATGAAAATTTTAATATCATTTGAGTTGTACCTGGAAGATGTTGAACAATACGGATCGGACAGATAGGCCCACAAGATCCTTCCGCGAGCGCCAAAACTGTATATCATTTTTGAATGCCAAAAATTCAAAAACTGTATGCAATAACGAAACGACGACGGTGACACCTGCAACAGGTGCTTGAGAAGAGTATAGAAAAAAGAAACCTATTTTCAACTGCAAAAAAAAAAACACTTTTACTTTCTTGACCCAAAATCTGTCTCAATTACGCTGACATTTAAAAGAGTGAAGGGAAAGTAAAGGTAAACGATACCGATGATCACAAATTTTATCAACGCCAAAAACTTTTCCTTTAAAAGTCCATTGAGAGGACGTCGTGGAAAAGCAAACAATCTAACTCTTACAAGACCTATCGTTAGAGAAAATATTATTACATAATTTATTAACTTTTATTTACATCTAACTGACGCATCGAAAGAGGGACCTCCTATTGAAAAAAAGAACAATAATATGTTGAATCAATCCAATTAAAATATGTCATGAGAGGAAGATACTTGCCAAGAAGAATAGGATTTGTTTCGATTAGGGCACGTTTTATAGTGTCCTGATCGTCGTCATCTTGCTCAAACATCTCACCACCAAACATCGATGACCATTTATTTCGCATCTAAAAAGAGCGGCATATGGCGTCCAAACAGCAAAATGGCAAGACAGTGATAATAGTTATTTGTACCTGCTGGCTCGCGTATAACTGGTACTTGAAAAGCGACAATGGTTGATAGCTCACTCTCAACGTTATTTCCTGGAGATAGTACGATTATTAACGTTACCCATCATTTTTCAGCAGCTGCAGTGGATATAAGCTACATAAAATGGAACAAAAGCGGGCTATCCTGCTTTCCTTCCCTCCAAACTAAGAATCTGCGAGATCCACAAGAAACTAATGAAATTCTAATAAAAAGCAAGCATCACCTTCACTGTTTCGTTCACAGGCATGTATTCAGATCCTAGATTCCAATAGTTATTGAAAAAAAGGATGGGTAGATAAAATCCTCCTATACTGTCAAACTCGACCGCTTCATCCAGAGGAGGTGGTAAAGAACCTAGATATAGGAAATTGCATATGTGGGAAACAAAGGAATATATTACTATAACCTTTAGTCCATTTTGTCTGGTCATCAACTAGATTGATTGTGAGGTTGGGGTGCCAAAAATTGAGAATCTGAAATAAGGATATCAACGACAAGATGCGTACATTTAAGTAAAACATTTGGTCATCTATCATGTAGATAAGGATTAACTACAATTTGAATGAAACGTTTAATTGATTCACCACCCCACTTTCAGCCAATAGCCAAAAACCTATATCTACACGAAAAAGATAATCCTAAGCTCAAAGAATATGGTGTATGATTTAAAAA